GTAACTCATCCAAGCAAACTTATCCTGAAGAAAAAAGCAAAACAAGAACAAAAGTGGGGCTGGGCTCACTGGCTGCTGTTTCCTTTAGCTAAGTGACTAAGGTGGACACAGCTCTCTTCCTAATGTGTTTATGTTCTGTTGAGTACAAAATATTCTAGTCTCAGACTATTCTAGTCTGAGACTAGAATATTTTTGTCTGGATAGTCCTTATATTAAGGCAAATCATGTAGATTTAGAGTTTTTGTTTTGTTTTTTGGTACACAGCATTGAACCCAGGTGCCCTTAATCTCTGAGCCACACCTCCAGCCCTTTTTATTTTTTAAAATTTTGAGATAGGGTATTGTTAAGTTGCTAGGGCCTCACTAAATTGCCGAGGCTGGCTTTGAACTTGCAATTCTCCTGCCTCAGACTCCTGAGTGCAGGCGTGTGCCACTGCACTGGCTGGATTAGATTTTTTTTAAAAAATATTTTTTAGTTGTAGATGGACACAATACATTTATTTATTTATCTTTATGTGTTGCTAAGGATCAAACCCAGGGTCTCACACATGCTAGGTGAGTGCTCTACCACTGAGCCACAACCCCAGCCCCTGGATTAGATTTTTTATTTGATCCTTATTTGCTCTTTCCTATGAAAGATCAAATATCCTTTGCTCCTAATTATACCAAAGCAGCTAGGCAAGGTGTATTTTTCTTGTGAAGTGGTGGATGAGGACCCTGAGTTGGGAGAGGTTCAAATACTCACCAGAGAGGCACAGGCAGCCGTGTGCAGAGCTAGAATTTGAATCTCATTGGAGCTGACTCTAATGCCTATGCCCTAACCACATGACCACACTACCTCCCTGGAAAACAAGTGTAAGTGACACACTGATATTTAGTCTAAAGTGAAGAAATGAGTTCCCCATTTAGTCTTATTATATTATGTGCTGTCCCTCTGGCTTTATTCCATAAACCATTCTGAAATGTTTTTGACATTGGAAGCACTTTAGCCTGGAACACAGAGATGTTATTTTATGATAACCAAACATCTATCCAGACACCAAAACTCACCAGAAGAACAAGTCCCAGTGACATGAAGATGGTACAGAAAAACATCCCACTCATTCCAATTAGAAACAGAGAGCGCCGCCCTGCCTTCTCCACAAGCAATACCTAGGAAAGTTTTGGAAAATATTATCTTAGTTTTGTGAGTCACAAAATCTTGCCTTTAAATCAACTTTATTGCAAAAGAGGTCATTTTAATTTATACAGTAGGGGAGGAGGCAGTGTTGTTATTACATTTTATAGATGTGAGACTGAGGCAGGGAGGGACTCTGGCCTCAGGTGGCAGAATTGACTCAGTGAACAGGGATAATTAACAGATATCTGTTTAATTTGTTTATAATGATTTAAATAGGCCATTCTAGAGATAGAACCATAGTGTTACCACCTCTCTAGGATTATCCCCTTGAGTACAAGAGTCAGAGGCTGTACAGCTTGCATCTCTCCCAAAAGATTACCTGTACATTTAAAATGTGAAAGATCTACATTAAAAAGTGACATTAATTTCTCTCCTGGTGATTAAGTTACTGTTGCAAATGAAACAGGACAGCTGCTCGGGTATCAACTTTTCCATCCAGCTTTCTCACTGCTTAATAAAGTCAAATTATGACCACTCACCTGGCAACATACAGAATTTGATCATTGTATCAAAATAGACAGGTCTGCATTTTTCTGGTGCACTTAAATGTACCTGGTATTAGAAGTGAACTATGCATTTAAAGAGAGAAAAATTTAAGGCAAAGGGTTAGAGTGCTTTTCTATTCTAATTGAGAAAATATGTCACTGATTCCTTTGAGTCTGGGTACCTTTGCATTAATGGTTAAGATTTACAATGAACCAAGACCAACATTTGTTGAATATGCTCTTGCCTCCATGATCCATGGAATACTACCAAAGCTGGTAACATGCACACTCACTCACACACAAACACACCTGTCACAATTTCTCATCTTGGTGAGTAAATCAGTTAGTTTCATCATTCTATCAATAAATTAATAGCAATACAAAATGCTTAGTATGGCGAGCTCTAGCTCTGAAAGTACCTGAGAAGCATTTCTTTTCTTTTCACCTACAGTGAAAACCCTTTTCATCTAAGAGACACATGCATGTCAGAACTTCAAATCACTTCAGATATGATGATAAGCAAAGGGCCCACATTTAAGTATTAAGGAAGAAGTAGAAAAACAAACCTTTCTCAGATTCATCAAATATCAGTATACATTTTGATTCTTTAATTCTGACTTTCAAAGCTGTCTTGATGATGCCATGTCAAGATACTGGGAAAAATAGAAACATTTCTTCAGGAATAAGGGCTCTTACTATATGTTTCTGCTGTTTCTAAAACAATGTGTATTTGCTGGATAATAAACCCTAAAACTGTATATCCTGAAAATTGAGTTGGACTGTCTCCTTGAGACTGGGTATTCTCTCAGGGATGCCTGTGACAAGGGTGAGACATGGCCAGTAGCTGGAGACATCTGTCCCACCTAACATTCACCTTTGCCAGACTCTGTGCATCATTCACATCCCAGGTGGTACCTAGTTAGAGTTTGGTAGCCACTCCTGATGCCCCAGACCCATGCTGCTTCCCAGTTCCCTCCGCATTTCTTCCTAATTTGTTTTCTCTCTCAAGATTATAGGCTCCCTTCTACCAGCTCATTAGCATGAAAGAAAACATGGAATATGGAACATAGTTCATTTTGTTATTGGGAAAATCTCTTTTTCCCAAACACTAATTCAGAAAAAAACAGATTGATTATGTTGCTTCCAAGCTGGTGAAATATTACTATATTATCAATAATACATTATCCTATTTATTTGAAAAGAATGCACAGGACTTGGTAGCATTGGTTAATTCTGGGAAGAGAAACTGGGTGACTAAGTTACCCTTCTTTTTGAACTATTGAACTTTAAAATGACTTTTCAAAACAAATATAATTAAAATTTTAAAATGTTACCTGTAGGCTTGGAGAGTTAATGAAATGATTTGAACTGTTTTTTTTTTAATAATGTCACTTATCTGCTCAAAATTTTTACAGAATAAAAGGATGAGCTCCAGAAGTTATGTTCAAAATAATTAAGAAACTATTATAAATACAATGACTCCTCCCACACCAATGAGATTGGGTGCAAAGTGCAAAAATAAAATTTTAAGGAATGTTTCTCTCAACATCAGCCTGCACAGGACCCAGGCTCACAGTAGGACCGGGTCCATCCTGTCACTGGCAGACACCCGATGGAGCCCAGCCTCCAGCACAGGACCACACCTTCCAACCAGCAGACTAACACGGGAGATCAGGCCCAGACCAGATCTGCCCTCACGGACTGACTGGACTGACTTGACTTGCCGGGCAAGTCAGAGTTCTTCCCCACCACCACCACCTGGGAGCCCAAGCCTAACTCACTTTCATCTTGGGACACTGCAGTCATCGCCATAGACTACCCCATGCAGTAGCCCCTACCTTTTCCACAACAGAAAGGTCCTAGACACAGCTGCGCCTCAGAGCAGGCATCCCAAAGAGAGTGTAAGGCAGACCCTTTCAGCCCCATCTCTGTAAGTCATTGCGTCACCTTGGGGCACCTCCACTATTATCTTGAGTTACTTTGGCTATTGCTGCCACCACCTTTAGTTGCAGTAGCATACGCTGAGGGATACCAACAGGGTCTGGAAGCCCAACATCAAAGTGAGGTACAGACAATATGCACAGATACTACAAGAATATAGAGTAGAAACTGTAAAATCTCAAATCCACACTGCAAGAAAGGAAGACACATAGACAATACGAAAAAACAAGGGAGGAAAGTTCCCCAACAAACCAGGATACTACAATAACAGAACCCATGGACAGAGAAGTTGATGAAATGTCAGAGAAGGAATCCAGAAGGTTCATAATTAAAATGATCTGTGAATTAAAGAATGACCTAAATGAGCAAGTACAGTCAAAAATTGATCACACCAACAAAGAGATAAGAGAGCAAATACAGGTAGCAAAAGATTACTTCAAGAAAGAGTTAGAAACTCTGAAAAAATACCAGTCAGAAATACTTGAAATGAAGGTTACAATAAACCAAATAAAAAACTCAATAGAAAGCATAACCAACAGACTAGATCACTTGGAAGAAAGAATGTCAGATAACGAAGACAAAGTATACAATCTGGAAAATAAAGTTGATCACACAGTGAAGATAGTAAGAAATCATGAACAGAACATCCAAGAATTATGGGACAGCATCAGAAGATAAATCTAAGAGTTATTGGGATAGAGGAAGGCACAGAGTTTCAAACCAAAGGAATGCACAATCTCTTCAATGAGATAATAGCAGAAAATTCCCCACGCATGAAGAATGAATTGGAAAACCTAATACAAGAGGCTTACAGAACACCAAATGTACAAAATTACAACCTACACCATAATGAAAATGCCTAGCATACAGAATAAGGATAGATTCTTAAAAGCCACAAGAGAGAGGAATCAGATCACATATGGGGGAGATCAATTTGTATCTCAGCAGATTTTTCTACCCAGACCCTCAAAACCAGGAGATCATGGAACAACATATAGCTCTTGAAAGAAAATGGATGCCAACCAAAAATCTTTTTTTTTTTTTTTTAATTTTGAGATTTCTCATTTGAAGATAATCTTAGTGCTATTAAATTCACAAATACGCTAATTTAAATACCCAATCCTATTTATCTAAAACACACATTTCAAACATACAAATATCTATTCTCTCCACATGTCAGTGCCCATTCATATCATGGTTTGGAAATGGGGAGAATAGATTCCCCTTAAACTGCAAGTCAGCAGGTGTTTCTTTACAGTTAACTTTAGCAAAATTCATACAAAATAGTAATTAACAATGATCTTCTTTACTGTTAACTCACAAGGAAACACCTTCAAAACTGCATTTTGTTAAAGTTTCTGTACTAAAATGTAGAAAAACTGAACTACACAAATATTGAAAAGTTAAAAATTCCTTAATTTTTTATTCCTGGTACCACTACCACAATTTACAGGGCAATATACCTGATGTAATGAAAAGAAAAAGAAAAAAGACAAGGCTACAACAGATAAAAGACCTCAGGAATGTACATCTAATTGACACTACATTGCATTAATCAATAGCTGCACTTTTTGCAAACTGTGGCTATGACAGTCCTGAACAAGAAGGGTTTCCTGTTTAAGCTGCAGTAACTTTTCTGACTATGGATCATCGTTCCTTCTGTGGCAGATTTTTACAGTTCCTCTAATGCATTTGGGACGACTGTCTCAAAGTAACCTGCAGCTTTCCTGACAACTCCTCGCTCTCTCTCCTACTAAGAACTGTAGCCCTTTTCTGCTGTTTTTAAAACCTTCTGCTACCATATCCACCACTTCCACCACCAGATCCATAACCACCATCATAGGGACTGCCAGAGCTTCTTCCACCAAAACTGCCCCCCTTCATGGGTCCATAATTTGATTGCTGTTGTCCACTGTAATTTCCAAAGTCATTATAGTTCCCACCACCACCATAGTTACCACCACCAAAATTTCCTCCTTCATTGTAACCATCATATCCTCCTCCACCACCATATCCACCACCTTGGTTTCCATATCCTGGTCCACCACCACCATAACCTCCTCTACTACTATAACCAGGACCACCACCATAGTTGCCACCATCACCTCCAAATCCATTATATCCACCATCACCTCCTCCATAACTACCTCTGCTGCCACCACCTCCACCACCATAGCCTCCTCTTCCACCAAAGTTTCCACCACGGCCAAAGTTACCTCCACCACCTCCAAAGTTTCCTCCACGACCCATAAAGTTGCCAGATCCACCTCCACGACCTCTTTGTGATCCAGCAGACTGCATCTCTTGTTTAGAAAGGGCCTTTTTCACTTCACAATTATGCCCATTACTAGTGTGGTATTTCTGAACAACAATTTTGTCAACTGTATCATGATCATCAAAAGTTACAAAAGCAAATCCTCTCTTTTTCCCACTCTGTCTGTCTTCCATAACTTCTATGGTTTCAATCTTGCCATACTTTTCAAAGTAATCTCTCAAATTATATTCTTCTGTATCTTCTTTAATACCACCAACAAAAATTTTCTTCACTGTTAGATGGGCACCAGGCTTTACAGAATCCTCTCTAGAAACAGCTCTCTTTGGTTCCACTACACGCCCATCAACCTTGTGTGGCCGAGCACACATTGCTGCATCCACCTCTTCAACACAAGAGTAAGTCACAAAACCAAAGCCCCTGGAACGTTTGGTTTGGGGGTCTCTCATTACCACACAATCTGTGAGTGTGCCCCATTTCTCAAAATGTTCTCTTAAACTATCATCTGTAGTTTCAAAGCTCAGACCACCAATAAACAGCTTCCTCAATTGCTCTGGTTCCTTTGGATCGTGGCCCTCGAAGCCATCTGCGGCATTTCTACCGGGCCGCCTCCTGACTGCTCCTCCAATCCCGCGCTCCTTCTCAGCGGCGCAGCTAGGCGGCGGCCATTGCGGGCCAATGCGCCATTTCGTAACGCGGCAGCGGATCAATGTCAATGTGGCCCCAAAAATCTTATATCCAGCAAAATTAAGCTTTAGATTTGATGATGAAATAAAAATCTTCCATAATAAACCAAAGTCAAAAGAATTTACAACTAGAAAGCCTGCACTACAGAACATCCTCAGCAAAATATTCCACCAAGAGGAAATGAAAAACAATGATGAAAATCAGCAGAGGGAGGTATTACACTAAAGGAAAATCTAATCAGAGGAGGAAACCAAGTCACGATAAATACCAAAAATGGTTGGGAATACAAATCATGTCTCTATAATAACCCTGAATATTAATGGCCTAAATTCACCAATCAAAAGACAGACTAGCAGATTGGATAAAAAAAAAAAAAAGACCCAACAATATGCTGCCTCCAAGAGACTCATAGGAAATGACATCCACAGACTGAAGGTGAAGGGTTGAGAAAAATCATACCACTCATAGTGTATATTGTATCATAGTGTTCATTGTATCCTTCATTTCCCCACTCATGGACTGGGGAAGCAAATAGGGGTTTCCATCCTCATATCAAATAAAATTAAAGTTAATAAAAAGGGATAAAGAAAGACACTACATACTGCTCAAGGGAACCATACCAGACACCAAGACTTGACAATTATAAATATATGCCCCAAACAATGGAGCATCTACATTAATCAAACTTTTCTCAATTTCAAGAACCAAATTGACCACAACACAATAATTCTGGGTGACTTTAACACACCTCTTTCACCACTGGATAGGTCTTCCAAACAAAAGCTGAACAAAGAAACTATAGAACTCAATAATACAATCAATAACATAGACTTAACTGACATATATAGAATATTTCATCCTTCAACGAGTAAATATATTTTCTTCTCAGCAGCACATGGATCCTTCTCTAGAACAGACCATATACTATGCCACAAAGCAACTATTAGCAAATATAAAAAAGTAGAGATACTACCCTGCATTCTATGAGATCATAATGGAATGAAATTAGGAATCAATGATAAAATAAGAAATAAAAGCTACTCCAGCACCTGGAGACTAAATAATATGCTACTGAATGAATAAGGGGTTGCAGAAGATATCAGGGAGGAGATTAAAAAAAATTAGAGGTGAATGAGAACACAGATACAACTTATCAAAATCTCTGGGACACTATGAAGGTAGTTCTAAGCGGAAAGTTCATTGCATGGAATTCATTCCTTAAAAGAAGAAAAAGTCAACATTACAAAAAGTTAACATTACATCTCAAAGCTGGAAAAAGAACAAATCTACACCAAAAGCAGTAGAAGACTGGAAATAATTAAAATCGGAGCTGAAATCAGTAAAATTGAAACAAACAATTGAAAAAATTGACAGAACAAAAAGTTGATTCTTTGAAAAAAATAAATAAAATCGACAAACCATGCTATCCATGCTAATGAAGAGAAGGAGAGAGAAAACTCAAATTATTAACATACTGGATGAAAAAGGAAATATTACAATGGACACTACAAAAATACAGAAGATAATTAGAAATTATTTTGAAAACTTGTACTCCAATAAAATAGAAAATATAGAAGGCATTGACAAATTTCTAGAGTATATGATTTGCCCAAATTGAATCAGGATGATATGCACTATATAAACAGATCAATTTCAAGCGATGAAATAGAAGATACCATCAGAAGCCTACCAACCAAGAAAAGCCCAGGACCGGATGGATGCACAGCCAAGTTCTACAAGACCTTTAAAGAAGAACCAATACCAATACTCTTCAATTTATATTAGGAAATAGAAAAAGAGGCAGCATTTCCAAACTCATTCTGTAAGGCCTATATCATCCTGATTCCAAAACCAGGTAAAGACACATCAAAAAAAGAAAACTTCAGATCAATATATCTAATGAACATAGATGCAAAAATTCTCAATAAAATTCTGGCAAATTGAAAATAAAAACATTTCAAATAGATAGTGCACCACAATCAAATGGGATTCATCCCAGGGATGCAAAGTTGGTTCAACATATGGAAATCAATAAATGTAATTCATCACATCAATCATATGATCAATCATATGATCATCTCAATAGATCATATGGTCATCTCAATAGATGCAGAAAAAGCATTTGACAAAATAGAGCACCACTTCACGCTCAAAACACAAGAAAAACTAGGGATAATAGGACCATATTTCAACATCATAAAGGCTATCTTACCCCAGGCCAACATCATTCTAAATGGAGAAAAATTGAAATCATTCCCTCTAAAAACTGGAACAAGACAGAGATGCCCTCTTTCACCACTTCTATTTAACATAGTTCTTGAAACACTGGCCAGAGCAATTAGACAGACGACAGAAATTAAAGGGATACACATAGGAAAAGAGGAACTCAAACTAGCAGTACTTGCCAATGATATGATTCTATACCTAGAAGACCCAAAATGTTCCACCAGAAAACTTCTAGAATTAATAAATAAATTCAGCAATGTAGCAGGATATAAAATCAACACCTGTAAATCAAATGCATTTCTATATATCAGTGACAAACTTGCAGAAAGGGAAACGAGGAAAACTACCCCATTTACAATAGCCTCAACAACAACAACAACAACAACAACTTGGGAATCAACTTAATGAAAGAGATGAAAGATCTATATAATGAAAAGTACAGAGCCCTAAAGAAAGAAATCAAAGAAGACCTTAGAAGATGGAAAGATCTACCTTGCTCTTGTATAGGCAGAATTAATATTTTCAAAATTACCATACTATCAAAAGCACTATACAGATTTAATGCAATTTCAGTCAAAATCCCAAAGACATTCCTCATAGAAATAGAAAAAGCAGTCAAGAAATTCATCTGGAAAAATAGGAGACCCAGAATAGCTAAAGCAATTCTTAGCAGGAAGAGGGAAGTAGGTGGCATCACTATCAGACCTTAAACTATACTACAGAGCAATAGTAACAAAAACAACACGGGATTGGCACCAAAACAGACTGGTAGACCAATGGTACAGAATACAGGACACAGAGACTAACCCACATAACTACAGTTATCTTATATTAGATGAAGGTGCCAAAAACATACATAAGAGAAAAGATAGCCTCTTTAACAAATGGTGCTGGGAAAACTGGAAATCCATATGCAATAAAATGAATTTAAACCCATTTCTCTCACCATGCACTAAACTTAAAGAGGATCAAGGACCTAGGAATAAAACCAGAGACCCTTCATCTAATAGAAAAAAAAGTAGGTCCTAATCTCCATCACGTGGAATTAGGCCCCAACTTCCTTAATAAGACTCCTAAAGCATAAGAATTAAAATAAAAAATTAATAAATGGGATGGATTCAAACTAAAAAGTTTCTTCTCAGCAAATGAAACAATCTGTGAGGTGAATAGAGAGCCGACATCTTAGGAGCAAATCTTTATCCCTCACACATCAGATAGAACACTAATCTCTAGGGTATATAAAGAACTCAAAAAGCTAAGCACCAAAAACAAAAACAAAACAAAAACAAACAAATAACCCAATCAATAATTGGCCCAGGACCTGAACAGACACTTCCCAAAAGATGATATACAATCAATCAACAAATATATGAAAAAATGTTCAACATCTCTAGCAATTAGAGAAATGCAAATCAAAACTACTCTAAGATTTCATTCACCCAGTCAGAATGGCAGCTATTATGAAGACAAACAACAATAAGTGTTGATGAGGATGTGAGGGAAAAGGTACACTCATACACTGCTGGTGGGACTGTAAATTGGTGCAGCCAATACAGAAAGCAGTATGGAGATTCCTTGGAAAACTGGGAATGTAACCACCATTTGATCAGTCTATATCCAAAGGACTTAAAGATAGCATACTACAGGGACACGGCCACATCAATGTTTACAGCAGCACAATTCACAATAGCTAAACTGTGGAACCAACCTAGATGCTCTTCAGCAGATGAATTAATTTTAAAAATGTGGCATATATACACAATGGAATATTACTCAGCATTTAAAGAGAATAAAATAATGATATTTGCAGGTAAATGGACGGAGTTTGAGAATATAATGCTAATTGAAATTAGCCTACCCCAAAAAACCAAATGCTGAATATTTTCTTCTGATATAAGGAGGCTGATTCATAGTGGGGTTGGCAGGGGGAGCATGGGAGGAATAGACAAACTCTAGATAGGGCAGAGGGCTTGGAGGGGAAAGGAGGGGGCATTGGGTTAGAAATGATGGTGGAATGTGATGGACGTTATTATCCAAGGTACACGTATGAAGACACGGATGGTGTGAATATAATTTGTATACAACCACAGATATGAAAACTTTGTGCTCTATATGTGTAATAAGAATTATAATGCATTCTACTGTCATATATAAATTCCAAAAAAATTAATAATAGTAAAAAAAGAGTTCCTCTCTAGTTTTTTTTCCAAATTTTGGGTTATTCAGTCTTGGCAACTCAATACTTTATATAGAAAATCTTATTGGTCACAAGTGTTTGAATAATAATCTTCATATTGTGAAAAGATGATACAGCAGTATCTATAAAAAATATTATTCCAGGAGACAAAAAGGGCATGTAGTCCCTTGCATTCCATCCCAGTAACAGACCTTCTTTGAGAGTGGCCTCTTGGCCTGAGCAGGTATTATCTCTGAGTTATTTCTACAGAATCCCTGGTGTTCTGTTGCTATTTGTTCTTCCTTCTCATTCCAAGGTTAAGCACTGTTCAATGTGGTCTAGACAAACCTGCTTTTTGGTCTAGATAACCAGGCTGTAATTTATTGACCACCCCAAGGTAATAGTTGAAAGTTCATATTCAAAGAATGAAAAACAAGTATCTAAAATAAGTGGAGTATAGTATTATGACTGACACAGAAAAGCACATTTTTTAATACCTTTGTTTTATTTATTTTTATTTATTTTTTATGTGGTGCAGGAGATCGAACCCAGTGCCTCACGCATGCTGGGCAAGTGCTCTACCACTGAGCCACAACCCTGGCCCAAGCACATTTATTTTTAATATTTTTTATTCAAATATTAAAATGGGCCAAATTATCCTCACTTTAGAGTGAATTATATTAGCTGCAAGTTTTTGTCTTTGTTGTTTACTTATTTTATCTTTTAGATTATGTTAAATATTGTCGTCAAGATGTTGAATCATTCCTTATATGCAATATTTGGTTTTAAGAAGAACATATGACCTCTTTTTTTGTGGTAGTTGCAAAAGGATCAATAACACTTCTAGTTTTATACTTCTACCCCACCCTCTAAAGCACATATAAACCTCTAATGCATCACCAGAAGCTACTTCCTTGGGAATTACCTAGAACTTCTGTCCAATGACTTAACATCATAGGAATTTCCCAAGTTTGCTGAATTCTGCTTAGAGGCCAAGATATCTGAGAGTAACTTGTCTATTATTTTTAAATGTTCTCCCCAAGACATCATGATGGAAAAAGTATTTCAAACATGGAAGGAGAGGATCCTGGGTAAACTATGCATACTGACTATACATATTGATAGAAATGACAAGCTGCCAGCCAGTCCAAGGGGTTTAAGTATAAAGTGATGAAGAAGGAACGAACGGAATTTCCTCTGTGCCTCCCAGTAAGTTATTCTTTCACTAAGAGTTAATTGAATGGCATCCCAGAAGTGGGGTGAGCCAGTGATTCACATTCTCAGTTAAGCCTATTGGTAGTGCAATAGTTGGCTTATTTACAGAGAGGACTTTTTGCATGACCCATTTAATTCTACATACCCACTGCACGTGGACAGAAATCATTGATCACTTTTATATCACAAGTTTTTCCCTCCATTTCTGGACTAGAAAACAAGCAGTGTTTATCTAAGGTGTCGACTTACAGAGAAAACAGTGAAAACCAGGTTGATGGCACCAACTCCAATGGTTGCATAAACAGGTTTGCTGATTCCAGCTGTCTGAAAAATGCTGGTTGAGTAGTAGAATATCTGCAAAGTACAAACAGTTTGGCCTTAATCAGGAAGTCTCACACTCATGTCTTTAAGGCAAGAAATATTTTAGGTTATTTGTTTTTCCATGTTCCTCTAGAGCCATAGTCCCTAGAACTTCCTAAAGATTTTCTCCACCCTCTCTTTCCAGAGTAGATAACAGACTTCCTTTAGCATTTAAAGCTTTTGATTGCTTAAAAGTTCTCCTTACATTTACAGTTAGAAAACTTTGCTACTATTTTTTAAATTTGTAGACTTTTTGTTAAAGTATAACACATATAAAAACACACATAAGTGTACAACTGAATTAGTTTTAATGAATGGGTCACACCCATTCATTAATGTATAACCAGCTCTTAGATCTGGAAATGAATCATTGCACACTCTGCAGAAACTCCCTATTTGTTCCCTCATCCACTGTCCTGAAGAAATCACTCTCCCATCATCTAACGTTATAGATAAAGTTTGCCTAGTTTTGTACTTGATGATGAAACCACATAATATGTACTATTTTTTGTCTGCCTTCTTTTGTTCACAGTTACCTTTATGAGTTACCTTATTGTCATATTTGCAGACTGTTCATATCATTACTCTATAGAATTTTGTTGTATTAGCACACCACAATTTGGTTATTCAATCCACTCCTGATGAATATTTAGGCACTAAGGGTGATTATGAATAGTGTTGCTCTAAACAGTCTAACAGTCCTTTTGGTGAAATATGTAATCATACCTATGAATAGACAATTGCTGGACCTTAGGGTATGCATTTGCTCAGCTTTGGTACAAATGGCCAAACAATTTTCAAAAGAAGTTAGGACAGTTTTATGTGCTCATCATAATGTGGGAGAGTTCTGTCTTTTATGATTAATCCAGAATTTTCCACTAATCTCAGTAGGAATGGAGAAATCAATTTCACAGCCCAATAGCTTTTTAAAAAAAAATTTAGTTATGTTTATATACTTCTAATAGTCTTTTAGATCATTGTGTTATTCCTCTGTCACTTTTCCCCCACTCAACATGTCCTGTTTCTCGTTCCTCCTGCAGAGAGGACTAATGCAGGAGAACTGTGCAGACTGTTCAGTGAGCAGTGGCTATACTACTATCCTACTATTTTTAGGCTGCTCCACAGCCTCAGGGCCAACATTTTCTCAGTACCTCTTGAAGTTAAGATCCTGGGATGGAAGATGAACCAGGAAGTTCAGAAAGATTAAGTATTGTCTAGTGGATATACAGGCAGAACTGAGACAGGGGATATGAATTTGGTCTGTGAGTTCCAAAGTTGTACACAGGTAAACATCAAGATATCTTACTAGAGACTATATGAAAGAAATATTGGTTTATGAAGTGAGGTTCATCTCAGGTATCCTTTTACTTCAACAGATAAGAATTACTTTCTTTGTCTCCTCCAAGACTCTGACCATCCATTAGTACCCCTAAATTGTCTCTTGTGGATCTGGGATTGGCTCACTAGTGATAGAAACCTAATCCACATAATTTAATATCAATAGATGAGGGCATGTGATTTTCTTTATCTAATTTCTTAACAAGTGCTTACATTTTTCTTTTTCTTTTTTAAGTACTTTTTAGTTGTCAATGGATCTTTATTTTACTTATTTATATGCAGTGCTGAGAATCGAACCCGTGCCTCACACATACCAGGCAAGCACTTTACCGCTGAGCCAAAACCTCGGCCCCCTTACATTTTTCTTCTAGTGGTTAATTTAGTCTGCATGATACAAGGGTTTCTTTGTGTATTTTTTATCAGCACATTATAACTATACATAGTAGTGGGATTCACTGTAACATATTTATACATGCACACAGTGTAACAGTAAAGGGTTTAAAATCAGAACCTAAAAGTTTGATACTACCATATTTTTCAATCACATCTTATCTACTACCCTCACTCATCAATATTATGCCAACTCATTCTATTGTTTATTTTTATAGGCTGTCTTCACAAATAAAAAAGTTTCTTGATGGCAAGAAACTGTTCTTTGCATCTAGCTATCTGGCATCCTTCATTTAAATAAAAAGAACCATGGACTCCCTTTTTCCCTCACTATCAAAAATCCTAAATTTCATTCTCACCTCTGGAAGCCTCTTGTAATTTAGGGACCTTCCCCCTTTGGAAATGATGATTATTCTCCTTTTCTCTCATTGCATTTACTATGACTTTTGCCTTTTTGTCTCATCTTAATAGAAATAAATCACCATTGAGTACTGATATTTTAAAGAATTGCAACCTATTTTAGAAAAGAAAATTTTCACTTAATTTTCTGTTGTAATAACACTTGATAGCTATGTAGTAACACTTGATGTCAATGTTTTAAAGCATCCTTTAGTTATTTAAACTTTAACCTCTTTCCTTCTTAGTTCGCTTTGTGTTCTTAAATTTAGAAGATATTCTCAACTTACCCCATTGATTCCAGAAAATTGCTGAGCCGCATGCAGCATCAATGACACAATGATAGGCTGTCTGTAGCTAGAATCAGTGAAGAGCTGAATTATGGAGACTTTCTGC